TTAATTGGAGAATTGTAGATAACTCTGGTAAATGGCTGGTTAATTGACATTCTTTCCAAGTTAGATCTCGGGGCATGACAAGTTGGTATCAGAGCAGTGTTATTGGAAGAATGGATTGTTACCAGAGTTGTAAGATTGGATTGAGAGTTGGGTAGAACGGGTAGCTGTAAGAGCTTCATTGGCATACATCATTGCATGTATGTATCATTTCTTCTAAATTATGCAGGTGAAAAGATATGGATCCTCCGACAGAATCCAGTATACCGAATGAGCAACACAGCGCAACTTAGTACCTTCAGAGAGTATGATGTAGTTGGCTACTGTGATTGCACATGTAATGGGGGATGCTCAGAGCAAAATGTGTGGGAGCAAAGAGGAAGAAGCTGATAGACACTTGTAGATGTTTCATAAGCTAAAACCTCCATTGTTCAAAGGAGCTGTGGGACCCCAGGCTGCTGAGGATTGGATCATGAGGGTGGAAAAGATTTTTGACAGCATGCAGTGTCCGGGGAATCAAAAGGTACCATTGGCTGTGTTCTTGTTTGAGGCTGAAGTGGAGAGATGGTGGATTGGACAGCAGAGAGAGAAATTCCAGGGGAAGACCAATGCTGAGATCACCTGGGATGAGTTCACCGCAGTGTTCAGGATGTGGTTTGTACCACCGTCAGCTCAGCGATAGATGCAGGAAGCTTTCATGAGATTGGAGCAAGGCCGCAAGTTAGTGATGTAGTACAAGACCGAGTTTACTGCACTTGCGAGGTATACTGCTCATTTGATTCCTACTGCCGAGGAAAAGTGTTATAGATTTCTACATGGATTTAATAGAGAGCTGAGAAATCCACTAGTACCCTTCTGGATACATGAGTTTTCTGAGCTGGTGGAGCGGGCCCAATTGATAGAGATTGACTTGGCAACACCAGTATCGAGGTATGATGATACCAGGAGGAGGAGAGATAAGGTACAACGAGATGATTCAGGTAGAGACAGAGATAGAGAGAATAAAAGCAGGTACGATGATTTGAAGGGATCTGCATCGCGATCTGCATCGGTAGTATCGTCTGGTAGTTCTGGAGAGTGCATTCACTGTGGTAGACAACATGCAGGTCGGTGCTACCTGTTGACGGGACAGTGCTTTCACTGTGGACAGCACGGGCACAGAGCAGCAAATTGTCCTCAGAAAGGATTGGGTGGAAGGACTGATTCTGGCACGGGTACAAGAAAGCAGAGGACTGTTGGCTTGAGGGCTTACAGTGAGAGATCAGGGAATCGGATGATTGATAGAGCTGTCAGAGATCAGAGGGAGATAGTTGCACCACGACCTCCTGCACTTCCTCCAGTGGTGCCATGCATCTACAGTCTACAAAGTTTACAGCATCATGAGGATCAGCAATGATCGGAAAGTTCTACTAGTAAGATGATTTGACTAATTGATTGATTGACATTTGATCATGCATATTGACATTTGATTGATTGCATTGTGTGTTTTGTATGGATTTCGACGAGTTTTGATTTTGATTTGGATTTGGATCGATTTGTTTTGCGTTGTTTTTGCTTCGTACCTGCAGGGAAATGTCGGGACGACATTTTTCTAAGGTGGGAGATTGTGAGATCTCGTTCCCTTACTGTTCCTCTCTGAATTGGATTTTCCTCCCAGGATCGGCCGGCACGATATTGAGATCGTCCAGGCCGATCAGTGCATTGA